AGCACTATTTTAAGGAGGCCAGGTGGCGCAGTGCTTAAGCACTCAACTGCTAACCGAAAGGTCGGTGGTTTGAACCCACCAAGCACAGTCTGCTTCTGTAAAGGTTGCAGCCTTGGAGACTGAGGCAGTTCTCATCTGTCCCATACGGTTTCTGTGAGTCAGAACCGACTGATGGCAGTGGTGGATTTGGATGGGATTTTAACAGTATTTCATATCGGCACTTTTGTCAGGGTTAGTTTTAACTCATAAATGGAGAGAGAGTAAGAGGCTGATAGAGAGCATATCCATACGTGTGAGGTAATGCCCTCCCATGGGCGGCCTTCACTGACCATACGTGTGAGGAAATGCCCTTCCCATGGCGGCCTACACTGACCATACATGTGAGGAAATGCCCCCCATGGCGGCTTTCACTGACCATACGTGTGAGGAAATGCCCCCCATGGCAGCCTTCGCTCGCTGACCATACGTGTGAGGAAATGCCCTCTCGTGGCGGCCTTCAGTAACTTGAGCAAGAGGGAGGGGCGGGGAAAGCAGGAGCTTCCCGAGGTACCTGGTGACAGTGGGCATGCAGAGGAAGTGCATCCCGGGGCTGGGCCAGGGGAGTGGAAGCAGAGCTGGCTGGGAGCTGGTAAGACATGCAGGCAGCCTCTTTTTCCCATTGAGAAATTTTATAAGCATATAGCAAAGGTGAAAGAATTTCACAATGAGCATTTGTGTACCTACCACCTATCTGCGTCTTCCTGTTCACACTTGACTTTATTTGCTTTATCACATGCCTGTCTGTTCATTCGTCCATCCGTCCATTAATCCTTTTTGTTTATCTTTTTGTTACATTTCAAAGTAGATTGCATCAATACACTAACCTTAAATCCTTCAACACGCCTAGAGTTTAATGCTTGTTAACTTTCTTCTTTGGATAAAAATGTACATGTGATACAACGGACAAACGCTAAGTGTGCACTTGCTGAGTTTTGACAGATGCCTGTGCCTGTGTACCCCAGCCTCCTGTGGGAGTAGGGATGTTAGTGTGACCTCCAAAAGTTTCCTCATGGCTCTTTTGGGTCAGTCTGTACCCCTTCCTTCCCAGAGGTAACCATTGTTAGGTTTCTGCCATTGATTAGTCTTGCCTGCTCTAGAATGTCACCTGAAGGGAACTATACAGTGTATGGGCTTTGGGGTCGTCCACGTTGTGGCATTTAATTTGTTCCTTCTGTGTTGGTAGAGTCACTGTGTGACAGTGCCCCTGTTTGCTTCTCCATTCTCCTGTTGATGGACATGTGGGCCCTCAGCAGTATTTGGGGTTCTGGATGGAGCTGCTGTACACATCTGTGCACAAGCCTTTGTGTAGACGTGTAATGTTCATTTTTCACCTAGAAGTAGACTTGCTGCATAGGTCTGTGTTTCGTCCTCTGAGGAACCAACAGAGCTTCTCCCTAAGTGGCCATTTTCCATACCCTCCAGCGGTGGATGCGAGTCCTGACTACCCTGCCGCTCGCTCACCAGCATTTGGTTTTACGGTTCTTATTTTAGCTGCTCTGCTGGATGGGCATGTGGCATATCTCGTTACGGTTTGAACTCTCATTCTCTCGGGGACTGGTGGTGTCCAGTGGTTTTCTCATGTGCTTATTGGCCATTCCCTTTTGTGAATTTCAGTTCAGATCTTTGTCCCTGTTTTAATTAGGTTGTTTGTATAATACACATACAGAAAAGCACACCGTTTTCCTAGCTTTTGTCTTTGCAGATATTCAGCAAACATGTTTGTAACTCTGGGTATGCCTACACCTTCCATAAAAGCATTTTATAGGCCAACCTCTTTCAGCCTAAAGTAGAAAATACCCAAATGCAGTTTTATTTGATGCACTTTGTTTCTGGATTTAAAAAAAAAAAAACTTAGACGTTTGTGTTATCTTCCTAAGAAGGGATACAGGACAGCATTGAGGAAAAGTAATTGGTCTAAAAGACAGATCACCTGCCTTCCCACATGCCAGCGTCCTTCCCTAGAGATGA